ATGCCGACCAATCGTTTCAACCATGAGGTTTTCCTGCCACCCACCAAAAAGCCCGGCTGCAACCAATAAGTTGTGGTTTTGGAGGGACGGACCAAACTTCAATGAGGGAAATTCTTCCCTCCAACCCCGGGCTCCATTTCCCCCCCCCCGTTCTTACACAACTTAGGGGCACTGCCCAGTCCAACTTCGGGCCCATCTCTTCCCACCTAAACCCATCCACTAGTTTTGGCTGGTCCATCGTGGGTTTTCACATGCTTTCACCAGTGCTCCTTAAGCAAAAAGCGCCAGAGCCACAAGAGCACCGAAATCAGCACGTTTTGACCATCTTAAGTTGAGCTTCACAGCAACCCTGGCTTTGCCGTGCCAGTCCCCTCCATGAACCATTTGAAGGGGCGATCGATTCGGTACTTAAGTGGTCAGCAAGCCTGTTGCAACCCGCTTGGGAGACTTATAACATGGCTTCTTTGTGGGACATAACCATGGTTACTAACCACTTTCTAAGTACCCTGCCCCTTTAAGCAAAGGTTTCCCTTGACCGCCCGCCCTACATTAAACCGTAAACCTTCTCTCAAAGTTCGGTTCCTTTCGGCTCGCCAGAAAACCTAGACAGTATCATTAAAGTTATGGGTTTGTCCCCCCAACCACAAAACTTCTGTTTGTGGCCTAAAAGGGATGGAAACCAAAAGGAACGCCACCATTTTGCGGGATCCCCAAGCAACTTGCTGGTTCTCGGCAAGGAATGAATGGGAGAGCTCCTGTGGTTTCCTTTAAGGGACTCCCTAGGTTCATTCCCACCAGCACTCGGTCATTCCCTATCGCAAACAAAAGACGAGCCCTTCGCCATCTCTCCGAAAGCGTCGGCCAGAGGGAGGTGGTGAGGAACCGGCCCAAAGCAAAGCTGGAGGCCACCAAACCCACGCCGATGTCCGAGTGCACGCTATATCCTCGGACGCTCTTGACGCGGAAGCGGCTTCCAAGCGCCCCAAAGGGACCTTTGATGTTCTACTCGCTGTTAGTCGGTTTGGCAACACTGTGCCCCAAAATCAAAACAAACCTTGTTCTGGTCCACAGTGAACCTGGACTACTTGGGTGTTCGGCTAACTCAGTAAGTTGCTCGTAGCCTAAGTTGTAAACTGCCTGTGAGTCTCCCTAAGTGGAGCTAATCCTGTTATTCGTGGGATATATGCCAGGTGGCTAGCGACTTACTAACTTGGCCGAACATCCAATATAAGGGTCGATGTTGATTAAAGAATTGGGTCTAGTTCATGGGCACTAGACCAGATGCGTAAATTGGCCAGGGGCGGGATTCTGGACACTGCTTCTTGCATGAGCCATGCGAATTGTGGCGCTTTTGCGCGTCTCGGGCGATGGTAGTTTCCACCAACCTCCGAGGCTCCACATTGGTGTGTCCAAACAGGGCCGTTACTGGGTGGGGGCCGCCAAAGACCAGGCAATGGTTTCATCTACTTGTGGAAACGCGGTTGACTGGTTTTGGATCTGTCCACTAGAGTGGCCATGCGAAAAAAAAGATATCGGTGTTTTCCAAACTAGGAAACCCTCAAACTCTCGCATCAAAATGATTCCACTGTCTGGCAAAGTATGCCAGCCTTCCAAGGATCTCTAGGGCACCGGTTTCAGCAACTGTTTGTCACCTCTTGAGTGCATGGGCCAAACATAGTCCAAACTTGGTGTTCACCGCTTAAATGGTCCAACCCCCAAAAGTGAGTAAAGCCCAGAAACTCGAAAGGAAGTGAGTTGTTGGAGGGTGATCCACTTGGATGTTCAGGATTTCTATATATCTTTCCGATAAATATCCTGAAGACATCACCCCAAGAAGGGGGACTCAATTCCCCTTGGCAACCAAAAGGTGAGGTTTGGAAAGCCCAGTTAGATGCTTGCAGAGGTCGGCGCATGAGCTTGGGGGTCATGGGGTACATAGCCGTGAAGCTCATGAGGTTCAGGCAGGACACCTCGCTTCGCGGAGCGAAAGCGCACCAAGCGTGCCACCCGCGCTCCGCTCTGGTTTGGTAACTTGGTGCTCGCTGGCTGCAGGCTGTTGATATATATATATATATACATACACAAAACAGTACATCAACATTAGCACTGCCATGTAAGTTGAAGATTATGGGGCTATTTAATCCCTTCCGCTGAACATTCGGGCCCTATTTGGAGGCAAACTGGGGAAGGGGGGTTACCGGGGGGAGGGGGGTTGGGATCTCACGAATGCTGGGAACTTCGCGGAATTCCCCAAAACAAACATCGTGTCGCCACAGCTGCAACTCACTTCACAGGTGGTCGCCGTTGCAATGGACCCTGGACCCCAAGAGGGTGGGGCAAGTGAAGCAAGAAGCTGCAATGTGGGGGAATGAATCCCTCAAACACACCTTGTGGAAGACCAAACGATTCAACTGGAAAGTGTGCTTGGGTGTGGTTAAAAGATCCTAGGAAGAGCTCCAACCTCACAAGGAAAAGTGGGTGCCCTGGTTTGGACGGGCATTGCCCCTATAAAAAAGCCAAATCCCCGGAATCTGCAGCTCTACGAGCGAAGTGCCGCCAGGATCGTCCACAGCGTGGCCCTGCCCGGCTCTTCCGCGACCACCGCCGGCGCCGGCGCCGGCGTCGCCCCCGGCGCCGCCCGGCGCAGAAGCCGCTGCGGCAGCGGCGGGCGCAGCGGCCGCGGCCACGCACCCGGATGGCGCCTGGGAAGCTGAGCCGCTGGGGTTGGATTGGTGCCTAAGCTCTGTTCGAGGTCCATTGAGTCGCCTTTGGAGATTCCAGAAGGGTCCCTCAACAAGCATAGGTGACTTGATTCAGCTCCTAAGTTTAGAACCTGGAGAGAGATTTGGGAATTATTTGTACAAATTTCACCTAAATTGAAGTGGTGGGTTGGTGGCTGGAACACTTGATCCAAATAAACCATTCCCCCCGCCAGGCATACCTGCCCAGGCCCATGCCTGGTTTGGATGGATTTGATTTGGTGGTGTTTATTGGGACAACCTAGCGATCAACCTGATTATCATTCAATCACCTGGCTGCCAGTCTGCGAACAACCTGCAATGAGCTTGGCAGGTGTAAATGTCATTTGCAAGTTTTACAAGGTGTCCAACACCTGAAATGAGGGATCCAAGATCCCCAGGTAAAGGGCCTTCATCTCAACCCCCGCTGAAATCTGTGGAAACAGGCCTTCATCTGGGCGAATTACAACTCTCTAAGCCAAAAGCAGGAATCTATGCTCAAAGAAATGTTCACCATAAAGCTCGCAAGCCTTAGTGAGACGTGACCCTAAAATGGGTGACTTGTCCACCTTTGTTTTTTGGTTGCCAACAAAAATAGTCCCAACTAACAACTTGCCCAGAAACCTTTGAGAGGCGGGAAATTGGGGAAAACGGGCAAAAACAAAGCCAACAACTGGGCAGGCAGGAGAAACAAAAACGGTCTGCCAAACCCTCCTGACCGAGCCTGAGCGACATCGGACTTGGAGCGGTGAGAGACATGGCTCCGTGCATGACTCAGCCGGCTCTTCAATGTGAACAGCCCATCCGAATGTCCAAGCAAAGTCCATTGTGTTTGTTGTCACCACTCAGATGTTTTTTCGACAAATCTTAGAACATCGAGGAACTCAGGGGGTCAAATGCTGGGCAAGTGACTCGAATCCAGCTTCTTTTGTTTGCAGGTTTGCACAGCGTTGTCATTTCTTCCAGTTCCACAGCTTGAAAACCAAGGCAAACTGTAGGCACACCAAAGCCAGCAAGGTTCATAGCTCCAAATGCTGCATGGGCAAGAACATGTCTTCTGCAACCAGATTAAACATGACACTCAAAGAAGCTCACTCAAAATGTGTCCTTCCAAACATGATGACCCGCACAACCACACTGAAAGGCAACATTGAAAACAAAGAACACTAACTTGAACATAGCAACCAAAGAGTGCGCAAAGCCACCGAAGGGGGAGATGGATAGATGTGCAAACGGATGTTGCATTTGCTTAGTTTTTGGCTGCTGGAGCCAAATCGAACAAGGCGGCAAAGTGAACGCCGAGCGTGTCTCTTCAAGCTCCGGATACGTATTGATGGCAAGCAACAGCTTCGAAAGGTCTGTAAAGGAGTTTTCTTTTTTTTGGTGGTTTTGGTGGTTTGATGGGTTGAGGACGGCTTTCCCATTTACCCTCTACAAAAGCCACAGGTTCAAAACCAAATCCAAACCACCAATTCAAACCACCAACCTGACAGGCTACCTGGTTGCTTGAAAGGATGGCATCCAACAAACATCAAACATAGCACCCACCCGCTTTACGAGGGGATCCTCAAAATGAGCGGGTGCAGGCGAGTGAGACTCTACCTCGCCATACTGAATCCAGTACGGGATCCTGTCAAAAAAACACGCACAAGTTGTGAGACATAAGCCTTTCTGTGATGCCAAAGTGGTTCCCATACCAGTGACTGTTTTGTATCACACAAGCTGGCCCTAAAGCCAAACTTCAGACAACCATGACTGAAGTCTGGTGAACACCAGCGATTCTTAGACATGGCTGCCTAACACTTTCAAACAACCAACGACATGACCATCCCCCCCCAAGTACCCCGGAAGAATCTGTAACCATGCGGGTGAGTAATGATTCAACATCCAGAAACCGGAGGTTTCCCTTTGGCAAGCTCGTTTCAACACCACGTGAGCACGTCATGAACATGGCGCAATCCCAAGCTAAACCGGGACAGGAGCACCCGTGAAAGCGATTCCGTGATGCGAAACGCTCCGCTTCATGTTGCCCTGGGAAGAACATCCGATTCAGGTCCCGAAATTGAACCGAGTCCTAGTTGTTTGGAATCCATAAGCCATAAGCCAAGTACGTTGCTCCCAGGGTAGACGGGGCCGTGGCAAGGAAACCAAAATGAAACCCACAGGAATTGCAGACTTGGGTTAGCCGTCTGGGGACGAGACCAGAACGAGACCCTGCTGCGACCCGCCGTGACCACTGCGAAGCCCATCTGGGGGAGTCGCCGCTGCGATGCGTGGCAGGCAAGAAGAAGCCTGGGTCTGGATCCATGATTCGAGACTTCGGGGTTGGTTCCGTTCGAAAAAAAGAAAGCGCCTACCGGGTAAGAATGAAACCGTGAAAGGTATTTGGGTTAGACTGAGGGTACATGATACATTTACCAGTAACTCAAAGTGAAGCAACCAAGATAATATGGGCCTAGAGTGGATGTGCTAAAAACGGTCTTCCCAACAAATTTATTAAAGTCCAAACTCAGGGAGCGGGCGTCAAACAGGCAGGCCTGGACAAAAAAGGAAAAAGGCTTCCTTTTGGGAGCACTCCCTAATAAACATGAACACCCTCAAACCACAAACATATCGAGAACTATCCTTGTGGCTGACCCCCTTTTGGGATCCATTTCGATGTTCAGGGGAGCACCCAACAAGGTTGAACAAAAACTGCTGTAATCTTGCAACTTCCAAACGCTGCCATGCACAGCACGCTGCAGGGAGCATAAAACAAAACAAGGTTGCGGCGCTGTTAGTTTCCGTGGTGGATTTGACCCCGCCTGCACTAACACGCCTGGCTCAAAACCCTGCGTTTTGGTGGGTTTTGGTTTAAAACCGAACAGAAGGCACCGCTGTTTCGTATGGAAAAACTCACAGGTTTTGTATACTTTTGCACGTTTCGCGCTGGCACGGTGACGCGCAGCTGGCGGAGGATGCGGTGGTGCCTTTCTCCTGCGCGCAACCGCTTGTTCTGGGCACGGCACAACTTTGCCACTGCCGAAAAAACATGTGCCTTGCAGTTCCTGCGGAACATCCAACTATTCAAATACTTGTCAAAGACATCTTTGCGCAAAGCGCCTGTGGACTTGTTGTGCAGCTGCTTTGGCAACCAAGCTTTCAAGCTTTGCCATGCTCTGTCCAACATCTGCGTCCCTGGGGTCTTTTTCCGACCGGGCAGGGCACGCTTGAGTTTGTAGACAGTGGCAACTTTCTTCCAGCTGCGCGCACCGTCAGTGTGCAAAAACGACTTGGGCTGCATGTGCTTCAAAATTTGGCAATCTTCAAGTTCCTGAAAGCTTTCAACTGGGGGCCGACTGCCTGGCTTGAGCAACTTGAAGTCGATTGACCTCGCAACAATCCTGCCGGTCTCCCGTTCCAGCAAGCCAGCAACTCGCCAGTGTGTGATAAACACGTTTGGCAGTGGTCCCGCTGAGTGCTTGCGCTTGTATTCCTGCACAAGGCGGGCAAAGTGGGAGTTCCTCTTCGAGACATGGAACTTCCGCAGTCCGCTGCAATCTCCTTCCACATTTTTGCTGAAGCGGAGTCGCTTGACTTGCCGCGCCGCAGCATCGCTCTCCATTTGTCCTTAGACATGCGAAGAACCCTGAAAATAACATACATTTGCACTCGCTTTGTTTCAGCTTTGCGACCGAAAACACAATCCGCACGAACAATGTCTGGCTGCTGGCAATAAGACTCGCAAGGTATCGCAAACTTCTTGAACAACGCTTTCATGCAAGCCAGTCATGGTTTACATGGCGCTTCTCCGTGGGTTCTGCGTGGACAAGTACTGGTTCAGCACCGCTACCAGCTTGCAGGGTTGGGCAGCCACCTAACCAACGACATGGCTGACAGCCACCGCTGACATGTGTACGCTGACCAGGGCAGGAATCACGGATCTCTTCACAGGGCCATGCAAGCGTAGAACTACAGCCAAAGCTCTCGTGTTCACTGGATGACACAGTGACGCACTCGGTGACTACGTCATGGCTGCCCTGCCGACCATCTCGCCAGCACACACCCACGCCACACGACGCGGAAGCATCATTCGTCGTCATCTCACAAAGCCTGCACCAAACGAGTCTAACGACACACCACCCTGTTTTCACATACAAACACACAAGGACAACGAAAGCCCGGACCCGACCACGACAAAGACAAAAAATAGACCCGATCACGACAAAGAAAAAATGTCAAATTGTCGCGAAGGTTCTCCTCTTCACTGGACAGAACATTAGCGCACGTAGAGCTTGCCGACATGGCTGGCAACGAAGCAGGCGCGAAAACTACAGGAGACACGTGCACGCCCAACGATCCAGACAGCATCCGCCGCGAGAGCACAAAGCAAGCAGCAGTCAACGCACGTGGCAAGACAGGGTGAGCCGCGGACACCGGCGACCAGGCAAAACGAAGCCGAGGCAAAGCACCAGGTAGCTGCGACCAAGGCAACGGACTGCGCTCAGATATCGCCCCTATTAGCGACACCAAAGCTACCGCTGCATCGCCTCCGCTGCACCCAGCAAATATTTCCTGGTGCGAATCCAACCGCCAAACGTCACAAGACCAAAACGGGGCGAACCAATCATCTGGAACTGGACGCGGCCACCTAGCGATGCGCAGCAGCAAAACGTGGGCCAAACACAAAGACAACTGCGTTTCACATGTCATGGTGCTAGTAGCCCAAAAGCAGCAGCAAAAGATGGGCATGGACAACCCAATGCTTGCTTCAGAACACAAAGTGGCACCCTTACTTTGGACGTTGACATGCCCCCCCACCCCACCCCCCCACCCCTGCAAACGCCTTGACAGATTGATGCTCTTGATACCTGTCACGCAGTGGTTCCGACGTGGACATCCGCCCCCCCCCCAAGTGGTCGGACAGAAGACAATCAGCGTACGAGCCCACGGTCGCTAACCGCGCCGTGAGCCAAAACAACCGCAAACCCAGATGCAAAACTCAAGTTGTCGGTAACACCACTTTTGACATGGGTCCTGCCGAGCCCCTAAAAACGGGCCGTTACCGCAAGGTGTCAATAAGCAAACCGATCCAACAGGTCTTGCCTTGTTGGCACACCAAGCGACTGAGTAAAAACAATCGGAGACTATGCTTCTCTGAAGGACCCTCCACACAATATGATTCCCCCACCCCCTTACACAAAACTGCAACGTTCAGGGTTGGGCTGCCCCCGAGTGTGCTAACAACCTCCTCCTATGTTCATGATTGAGCCAGTCTTCACAAAATTTGTGCTTTTAAAACTGAAGTCCAAGAACTCAGGGAGCGCGTGTAACAGTGTTTGCAACCAACCCCAACGACGGCAACAAAAACCACAACAAAACGAGCGCAGCGCAAATCGGCGCAGATGTTCGGCGCAATTTTGATTTCTGAGGGGCACTTCCCCTTGAGGGCGTGCCAGAACTCGCAGTTCCCGGTACCGTGGTCCTGCCGAGAGTCGAATGGGAGTCGGCTTCCACGGCAGGACCCGCGTGGAGGTCTCCGTTGAGGGAGAGTTGGTGTCCCATATGGATCTCTCTGATTTTCGGACTCGCTGACTCGGATGAGCTGGGGTCATGACTCCAAGAACCCGATTCATGGTGGAAAAATCACCCTTGCTGCCATCAGGAGAATGCCAATGCGCATGCCGTCAGTGTGAAAAAACACACTGCGCGAGGATATCGCAAATCTCCAATTCCCACAGCCATGGACACAGTAGATGCCGTGTCCAGCTATATTTTGCTCCTGTTGCTTCCCCTTTTTCTAGCGGGCATCCAGTTCCGTTCCTTTCAGCCCATCAAGACACTAAGCCAACCGTATTGGAGTGAGGCTAGGAGAGGAGTCTGGAGGCCCTGGAGGGATCGGCTCCTTTCCTTCCGTTTTCTTCACGGGTCATTTGGGTTTCTGTCTTTGTGAGGGTACACCTCGCCAAAGGAAACCCTCCATAGAGTCAGAGAGATCCGGATCACAGTTGGGAATAGCAATCCTGGTTACATTTCTGCCAAGTTGACGACCACTGGCAGTTTCTTCGCAGGCTCTTTGCCTGCTTCTACTGACCAAGCCGGTTTTGTTGATCTATTCGGATGTTCTCCCAGCTTTCCTGCGGTCCTTGCAGAACAAAGCAATCAGTTTTGAAGGAAGTTGCATGGAGTCCACTTGGCGCCAGGACCATGTTGTGGGAGGCAAACGAAATCAAGGGGAGTGTGTGGGTGGAATCCGTTGTGTTCCTTTGCCTTAACAATGAAACAGTCGCTCAAAAACGACACGCCCAATGCCAAAACGAAAGCGGGCCAGTCGTTCCCTGGGGTCATTCTGGACAAATGCCCGCCCGACCTTCTGTGGGCCCCAAACAGTTTGAAGGCCGGGAACTCGGAAGGAAAGAGATAGAATCCTCCAACTGGGCGTCAATTAGGCAGAGGGCGGAGGTGCGGAGGTCGGGTCCTTGCGCAGTACCACCACCGCCTCGCCCTCGGGCACCAGATCGCAGATCACGCAGTAGGACCTGAAATCACTTGAAGGAATCCGTTGCATCTTGTTTGGTAGGCTCTTGGGAACCCAAAAGCGAACCACCACTTGTTTCTTACTTTTTCGCTTCCGGGGGGAGGGGCTCATTTGTGACACATACGCTAAAAAGCTGCGCCGTATGCCATGGTTGCATGTGAGGCGTGCCCCTCCCCAGTCTGTGAATCCGTATCCCAATGCAAGCGCTCGAAAACCATTGACTTTTGGTTCAGCATCCAAGCGCCCCTCAAATCCCAATAGGGGCCATCAGTGCCCAACAGTGCCTAATAAGGCATATTTGGGTCTAGCATGAGGCCCTTGCTGGGAGATTTCCTTGTTCAGGAGCCTTTGAAAAAGAACTACAGTCCCACTTCCTCAGTGGAATGGCCCAAACAATTTAAACATCTTGTTCACCACGACAGGGTCGAGAAACTTGGGAAGTTCGACGCTACAGGCTAAAAGGGGTTGTGGCGATCCCCAGAAATCCTCTATCATCGAGTCTGGGCTTGCTGGGAGGCCTAGGTAAGCATGATTGGCCTAGCAAAATGCTGTTTGGATGGCCTGAAACTGGAGCTCGGCGTTCTTTGACCTCCTGTGTGGTTGGGCTTTGTATGTATTGGAAGGTTGATTTGGGTGGAACTGCCCTCCTAACAATTAACATGGCACCAAACAAAGGCGTTTTGTAAGAGGATGTGAAGAGTGCAATGGAAAAACTGAGGGCCTTTTTGAACGTGCTCTTATCTTTCACTTTTAAGCGTGGCTTCCTTCGCCTCCCTTTTGGGGATGAGGGACTCCAACAAGAAGCCAACCAGCTGCAGAAGTTGGTCAAACCCCGCAATCAGGATTGGTGTCTTTCGACCAGTTGGCGTTGGCAATCGGGAAACAGCCGACAGCCCTTCGTTTCTTGGAAGAGGAAGCCCCAACCCGCGAGACGATTTGTTGGGTCTTGCGGGTTTTCGGGGAAACCTCACCCTTGCCCACTCCGTGGGCGGCCGCGCTGGATGTCGGTGGAGCTATAGCCAGCTGGGATGCGATGCGGGACCGGAGGGACTGCGAGTTTGAGAGCAAAATGCTGTGGATGGACAAAAACATCTTTAGCACCACCGAAGAAACCCTGAACCCTGTAAATACCAACAAATGACGGTGTCCCATGGTTTTGAAGTGGTGCAGGTTTTTGTCCATCCAGTGCGGAGTCTGAATAAATTCAAAACTGCCCCATTTGTTGGTTTCCTCTGAACCCCCGCAAGTGACCAGGTTAACATCCCAAATGCAACTCCTTCCCTGGCAAGATGGGACACCCACGCAACCAGTGAAGCCCCAACCTAGAATTCACAAATGTGTCCAGTTAAGCCGAGACTTCCTCTTTTGAGTGGACCCACATAACGGGAGCAAAGAATCATTCCAAGCCTCAAACGACGACACGCACGAACGAAGCTAAAATCAGGATTCAAACATGCTGTACCATCATGCTAGGCGAGGAGGGTAACATGTTGCCAACTGTTGGCCCAGCCCCCTACCAAACAAGGCTTTGGATCATGGAAGCCGTTGGAGCGCTGGGTTCCTCTAGGTTTTGGCGGTCAGGCGAGCCGAAAAAAATCTGTGGGTTGGTTGGCCAAAACGTGCAAACTGTGAAAACTTTGGACTTACAACCCAAATGAACATACAACTCAACTTGGTCTTTACCACTAAGCTGATCATGCTACAAGGTAAGTCTCCGGAAGGCTGCGCAAGTGAGGCACTGTTCGCAGGCATCGCCTCCTAGGAAACAGACTCGGATTTCAACATATAGTTTCCAACACCCCCAAACTTCTGGGACCACGGCTTGCAAAGCCGCCGTCGCAACACAGGAATTCGGCACATAATTTGCATGCAAAATCCAACATGCTCGCAACGTGACTTATTCCTGCTTATTGCTATGCTCCCACGTCCTCCCCAAGCAGGGTTACGGTTTGTACTGGAATTTACTAATCAAAGCAGGGATTTGGCTCATGGAGAACCACTTTGAAAACGTACTACTGCTGTGTCACACTGAAGCGCCGCGTGGAGTGTCACGGCAAAGACTCTAAAGTGGCCAAAAATCATGAGGCCGTGTGCCATTGGGGCAAAGGATGATGTGTTTGCGCGTCAACGAAAGCCATTTGTCACCTGCAAAAGCCTCCAACTAAGTAGAAGCGATTCGGGCTGAGTGGGTACGCTTCCGTTTTGGCCGGCGTCTGTGCAGTGCTCAGCGGGTGCGCTTGCGCGGGCTGACTTCCATTTGGCTGGGGCGGGTGTGAAGAGCTGAGCGGGCGTGCTGACCATTTGGCTAGCGTGTGTGCGGTGCTGTATACTTATGCGCACAAAAGTCAACCAAGGCAATGTATACGTATATGTATGTATATGTATACATTAAAAACAACTTACATATATATATATATATATGTATACTGTATTTATATTATGTATGCATGTGCAAGCTCAATGACCGTTACATTAGGCTGTATACCCTAATTTCCCTTAAGGGTGATGGTTGTGGACATTGCCTTAGTAACTTAGGCCATCAAGATGAAGCTGC